AAGTTCCAGGGTGAGCGCGGTTATTGAGTGCGTTATGGACAGGGAGGGCTGGGGCAGCTGGGAGACGGGCCGAATCCCGGGGGCTCGGGGTGCTCGGGGCCGCGGAGGGGGCTGTCTGCGAGAAAACCTCCCTGAGGCCTCGCAGGGAGCAGCGGGCGTAGCTGTAATCCAGCCCTGAAACTTGGGGTGTGTTTTCTGGCTTAAGTGGCCTTTTCATAAATCATTCTCAGGCCTAATGCAATGAATTTTCGATGGGACTAAAGCTGTGCCTTTCTACGCGTTTTTCTGTGTGACACCATCCCCCCGCCACCAGGGAGATGCATCGGGGGTGGGCGGCTGTGAAAGAAGCCCTTGCGCTTTATCAGTTAAGTGAACATCCCCCTTGGTGACAGTTGGGACTTGAGGAGATGCAGACCACCCTCGCTGTACCTAAACTAGTGAGACGTCCTGCTCTGTGTGCTTGTCGTAATGCAGCTTTCTGAGCTGCCTGAACCAAGGTTTTAAATTCTGATAGCTTGATCACACATATATATATATTTTTCTATGACGCACTTATTTGCAGAATTTGACGACGCAGCGGACTTGCTTGCAGCGAATCCCGATGCAACCACAATAAGCATCGACGAGCCATCGGACATCCCCAAGAACAAGCACGGCCGCCTGCAGCAGTCGGGGAGAGAAGAGGATGATGAACTGCTGGGGACCGATGACTCCGATAAAACAGAGGTAACGAACCTGCACCCAGGGGTTGTGCTGGGTGGCCTGAGCTCGATTCTTCCCTGTCGTACTCAGTAGCAGAGAAAGGAATGTGCATCTCTGTAAGTAGAGAAATTGCATCTTTATGGTGTTTTTCTTTTCTCACCCCATAGCTGCTTGCCGGTCAGAAGAAAAGTGCCCCTTTCTGGACATTTGAGTACTACCAGACGTTCTTCGATGTGGACACCTATCAGGTTAATAATTTGCTGCAGTAGAGAATTACTGTCTGAGCTATGCCTTACAGTTATGTTTTTTCCCTTTTTGCATTTTTAGTCAGAAAAACCTGTCTGTTTTCATAGGTCCTGGACAGAATCAAAGGTTCGGTGTTCCCAGTGCCAGGGAAGAACTTTGTAAGGCTGTATATCCGCAGCAATCCCGACCTTTACGGTGGGTACAAGCTATGAGATGCTCTGTTCATCTGTGTTAAATGTTTTGAGCTTGTAGTCTCTTTTGCTTTAAGAAACAGGAGGGTAGAAGAACTGTTGCTGATACATATATTTTTTTCTTTCCTTTTTTTCCCCCTTTTAAGGGCCCTTTTGGATATGTGCTACACTGGTCTTTGCCATTGCTGTTAGTGGCAATCTTTCAAATTTCTTCATCCATCTGGGCAAGCCAACATACCACTATGTGCCCGAATTCAGAAAAGGTTTGTGAGTACCTGATGCAGTTCTGAAGGTTTTTAGTTTGCTAATGAAGTCACGTAAAAACAGTTGAAAAACAAGACTCTGCTTTAATCTAGCAATGCCTTTTGATTGCATTCTTCAAATTTGCAGAGATTAAAAAAATGAGTCCTCAAAGGAGGATGTGCCTGGCAGAGCCCTCATCCTCAGGAACATGAAGTAGTTAAAAAGTAGTTTTAGTGGAGCAGAAAGTAATAATGAGAATAATAAATTAGACAGAAAAGTAAGACAGAAAAATAATTTAGCAATCTCTTTAAAAAAAAAATCAGTACATCCTTGTACAGAGAGCATGAGTCTAGCAATGGCCACTGCTGTGCCATTTTGTGGACACCCTTACGCATCCATTGTCCTCTAGGAGCCTTTAAGCTTCAGTCAGAAAATTACAGAATTAGAATATTACTGCATAAAACTTGCCAAAAACTAATGCTTGCTGCCTTCTGGTGAACTCCAAAATAAGCAAAAGATGCTTAATAGATAATGTGCTTAACACTGTCAAGGCAGGAGCCAATTGCTGACTTCTCTTACGTTTTGAAGGAGACTGCCGTGCCTATGGAGGAACGTAATTTTTGTTTGCTTCCAGAATCCACAGTGTACTTGGAAGAACACCGTCATTTGGGAATCCAGTCACTTTATTAATTTCAGATTTGGCACTCGTGTCTGCATTCTCTTCCTTTTTTTTTTTTTTTCTTTTGGTAGCTAGTAGTAGCTGAATTTGTGTTTGTAGCTAAATTTTTCTTTCTCAGTTGGCTTTTCTGCTCACAGTGAAACTGATAACATTTTATATATAGTTGTAAAAAAGAAATTGGAAATAATAAGAGAATACTTCCTGGACTTTATTTTTAAACTAACTTGAATTGCTGATTAAGTACTGGATGTACCTGCAATGTTCTCAGTTTATTTATAAATGGTACTTTATATTTGAAAACATTGACAAAGATAGCTTTCTAGTTTTAGGTGCAATACTTCAGCACATCTGATTATGGCCGGTATTTTAAGTAGAATGATAAATCTCTTTCATATTTCCAGTGTCCATAGCAGCGACAACAATTTATGCTTATGCTTGGCTTGTTCCCCTTGCTCTCTGGGGATTCCTGATGTGGAGGAACAGTAAAGTTATGAACATCGTCTCCTACTCATTCCTGGAGATAGTATGTGTTTATGGCTACTCGCTCTTCATTTACATTCCCACAGCGGTATGTATGGCCTGAAGAGCATGTCTGTATTATGTGCCCTGCAAAAAAAGAAGTCGTGGATTCAAAGATTTGCTGTTTCTTGTTAATATTAGTCAAAATCTCGGGGACTGAATAAACCTTGTGCTCCTTTTTCTTAACTAGAGTCAAGTGTAAAAAGGTCTTGTGGGTACTGGAAAAACCCAGGACAAGTCATTTCTCCAGAGGCAGCAAATCCAAGCAGGGGTGTGGGCAGCTTTGGGAATGGGAATGTGCATCCCCTGGGCTATGGATGTTGGTGCGTGTGATGGCAGTGCTGATGGGCAGGCTCTGAAGAGGATTCCCTGGCAGGGACCAGCCTGCCGTGGTGTTACTCCAATAAATGTTACTCCTTCTCTGACAATAAATATGTATCAGATAAAGCATGAGTTAATTTGCTTGCAAGTCAGCTAGAGGTGATAAAATGTCACAGAAGAATGCATCCATAGGCATCTGTTCACAGATGTTTCCTCTCTCTTAATAGATTCTGTGGATCATCCCACAAAGAGTGGTGCGCTGGGTGCTGGTGGTGTTCTCTCTGTGCCTTTCGGGCTCTGTCCTCGTGATGACTTTTTGGCCGGCTGTCCGAGATGACAACCGGAGGATCGCGCTGGCCACCGTGGCGACTATTGTTCTGCTTCATGCCCTGCTGGCTGTGGGCTGTTTGGTAGGACCTGCCTTTCTTCTTCTCTAACGTGTCATTTCCTGCAGTGTGCTGCAGTCCGGGGAAGTCTGGCTAACTGCTTCCTGGAAAATGTTTTTTTCATAAAGTAACAAAAAGACGCTACTTCTGACACCTCTCCAGAGTAAAATCCCTGATTGTTTCAAACATAGCAAGAATGGATGCAGATCTGATTTTCATAGTACCAGTAACAAACTCAATAATGAATTGAACATCTAGCATAGAGTCACTTGCAGAACAGTCCTAATTTTATCTGGAAGTTATGATAATAGCAGCAAAGCATTGATCTTTATTGTATACAGTAACAACTCATTCTAAGAGATTATATGCTCGGTTAATTGTTTAAAAATGTTCAATGTTCAATATATCGTGTGTGCTTGTCAGTTTTATCTATGAAAACATAAACTTGCTAGGTCTTAGTAAAATATCACTATGAAAGCAGAAAACCATAATGTTTTTGAAACACGTAACAATGAGAACATTTTTTATATATTTATATACTTTGATATATATAATTTGTTGTCATCTTTGCACTGAGTAGAATGATACCATCCAGGCTTCAGTTCTGACCCCTCCAGCTTCCACGGCAGATA